TGATTGTCTTGTTATCATTAAATAGGGGGAGATTGTTGATCCTCTCTCTCAGTGATTTGATGATAATCCCTTTTTTCTTGTACGAAGTATTTATGTTTCTGTCTTTCAGTTCCAACGATCATCACTGAGTCTATTTAGTGATCGCTGAGAACATGTAATGTAAATCTATCAGCGACAGCGATACTTCAAGAAGACAAAACTCACACCAAAGAACCTTCAGCGAAAGTCGAAGACTGAAATTGAAGATTAGAGATTGGCGAGTACGTGATCTGAAGCGGTATTCAGTGATTATAACCTGGTCTACACATGTGTGAAGACTGCCCAAGCCTCAGTGAATGCTGAAGAGACCTTTAGGTTATTCCAGCATTCAGCGATCAAAAGAGGCTTGTTGAGCACGATTGCTTTTGTTTTGTCCTTATAAACACAAAGGACAAACCCATACCCTTTCTAAAGTATAGTTCAGTACAAAGCCGATTAGTTGACTCTACTACCCACCAACTTTATGAAAAAATGTCTGCTCATGAATAGGCTTTTGTACTATTCACTGTAGCAAAGGACAAGTCTTTCTCTAAAGGCTTGACACGTGTTCAAACCCTACTACGTTGCATTAAATGTGCATTTAATGCAATGGGTATAAATAGATGTGCTCTATCTCCATGCAGAGATACTCTAATACTTACTCTTGAACCCTAACTTATGTTCAAAAGTAAAAGAACATACATCTAAGAAAACAATATGCTTATCTTCAAAAGCAAGTTAGAATCCCTTTCTAGTATTCTAAATAGTTCTTACCCAGAAAGAACTTACTTTCTTCTAAGTCTCTTACAACAAATCATTTCTCTTTGCTAAGAACTAGTGTGTAACTTAGATTATTTACATAGGTTATCTTTATCTTTTCTTTCTGCAAACAATCTTGTAAAATTTGTATTGATCCTTCTTTATCAATATATATTTTAAATTTGAAAAGTTTACTATGTTTGTATTCATCCCCCCTTCTACAAACTGTTATACACATCTTGTAGACCCTAACGGGACCAACAATACCTTTGGATATAGGGGTGGCATTTATATATGTATTTATTAATATAACTCTTATTATTATATCCTTTAAGATTACGATGTTTCTGAATCTTTATTTCTTTGTGATTTAAAGATTCATGGACATGGTTCTTGTTGGAAATGGTAGTAAGGATGTTATTGAGAAGGAAATAATTGGTTTATGGCCAGAGGTTTTGAATAACTGTATTCCTGATAAAAGTGTTTAGAGATGAGTTATGTGAAACCTGAATGGTTCTAGCCTGTTTTTGCTTAATTAACTGCTTATAAGTCAGAGATTGGTTTGGGAATCAGCGGGGCACTGGTAGATGTGAATTACATGGTTACGTATTTGTTTATATGAAAAGTTGATTTCAAATAAAGTTTTAGTGATCTTCAATCTGCAATTACATGGAAAAAAGGGATCTCACTAGACCTTTCGGTCTAACCCTCATTTTGTCTTTCTAAATATGTATTGCAGGAACTGCTGGGTTACACGATGGTAAGGGGAAGGGGAAAATGTAATATTTTCCTATGTGCATATATGTGTGAAGATCAGTTCATGTTAAATCTAGTTTTGTAGATAAATGTTGATCAGTGCAAGAACTTGTATCTTGGAATTTTTGGGCTATGTACTTTATACGATAATTTCTTGTATTTTGGGACCAAAATGGTATAAAACATGTATTTCTGTTGAATGAAGTATGTGTTATATGCAATGTATGATGTGGGGTGTTACAATGGTGTTCATTGATTTGTGCATGAATGAGGTTAAAAATGGGTATAGACCTGGTAGTCACTTCAATAAGCTTGGGTGGGGAAACATAGAGAAGAAGATTAAGGAACGGACAGGAAAATCTTTTGACAAGAAGCAACTTAAAAACAAATGGGACACTATGAAGAAAGAATGGAAGTTGTATGATCGCTTAATGAGGATTGAATCTGGCATTGGATGGGATCCCATAAGAAAGACAATTATTACATCACCAGAGTGGTGGGACGAAAAAATAGAGGTAATACTTACTATTTTATATATATTCTTTTGTTTTCTATTACTTTTTTATGATTTCCTAGTGAAATTTGCTAACAAGAGCCATTAACACACAGGGCGACAAAGATCTTGCCAAGTTTAGGGACTTAATTTGGAGATTTATCAAGTGTATTATGAGCCTTTATTTCGGGATTCCGTTGCCATTGGAGATAAGACTAAGGCTCCCGTTGAATGTCAAAACAATAGCGGTCCGATGATGAAGAAGATCATGAGGGGAAAGGAGATAGTGATGAAGTGAATTTAGGCAACGATGATAAACATCTTTTCCCTCAAAGTAGTTTGAGTAAGAGGAAGAAGCCAAATAATGTCGCACCTACCCGTTCAACCAAGGGAAAATCTTATGTAACTTCCTCATTTGAAGATAAACTAGATAATGTATTGGAGACACTATCATCACGAAGCACACAAACTTTTTCATCACAGAATAATTACTCACCAACGACACAAGAATGCATGGACATTGTGACATGTTTTCCAGGATTTGAAGAAGATTCAACGATGTATAGCCAAGCATTACACATCTTCCTAAAAAAGCAAGTCCATGAAAATTTTATGGTTCCAAAGACATATGGAAAGGATGAAGTTTCTTAAGTTACTTATGGAAGAATGATTCATATCGTGTTTTACCCATTTCATTTTATCTATCCCCTTTTAGAATGATGTTTCACATTATCGTTTAATATTTTGATATTATGTTTTCAACTGGTTTCATATCATGTATAATCGTTTGACATTATATATGACGTTTGACATTATGTATGGCGTTTGATATTTCTATCCTTTTTATATGCGTTTTCAATATGTTTGATTTTTTTTAATCTATTAATAGGATGGATCGTGATAACTCTGATTCGAATGGTGATAATGAAATAAATTGGGTGGAAGAGGAGAACAGATGGCTACTATCATGTGCAATAGCTATCAAAGAGATAATAATAAGTCATAAATTGAATAGCACACGTATGCTTTGACGCACATCTTCTCACACAGGAAACATATTTATTCATGAAGTACTTAACGGTCATCCTAGACGTTGCTACTAAGATTTCAGACTACATGTCCCAATATTCAAAATGTTATGTTCAGATCTTGCTACACGTTACGGGTTAAAGCCAACACGTAATATGTGTATTGAGGAGTCTGTTGGCATTTTCTTGATGACTTTAGCACATGGGTGTGGGAATATGTTAATTCAATAAACCTTCAATCATTCTAGAGAGACTATTCATAGGAATTTCCATGTTGTTTAGAAAGTTGTACTTAAGTTAAGTGCGGACATCATAAAGCCAAATGCAAATTACAATGAAGATGTACCTGCACATATTTTAAATAACTCTCGTTATTATCCAATGTTCAAGGTACTTCCTATATCTTGTTTCGTATTTGACCGTAGCATTTTAATAGATTAATAAATTATTTTACTTATATGTGTAGGATTGTATTGGTGCTATCGGTGGGACACACGTAAGGGCATCGGTTCGAGAGCAGGCGCAAGCAAAATACATTGATAGAAAAGGATATGTGACGTAAAATATCATGACAGTTTGTGATTTTGTGTTTTACGTTTGCATGGGCTGGATGGGAGGGAACTGACATAACACACGGATATTTTTTGAAGCCTTACGTAGAACTGAGCTTAAATTTCCACATCCAATCGCTGGTTAGTATTTTTTTGTAGTAATGCAAACTTTTATGTTTTCATACCATTTGAAACGAATAACTGTAGTTTGTTTATTTTTCATAACAGATAAGTATTATGTTGTTGATGCCGGATATCCAAATACTAAAGGTTATCTTGCTCCATACAAATGAACAAATATTTGTTATCACATACCTGATTTCTGTAGTAGACAAACTACAGCAATACGTGCTCCCAAAGGAGTAAAAGAGACATTTAACTATTATCACTCATCAATGAAGAATGTTGTTGAACAAACTTTTGGAGTTTGGAAAGCTAGGTGACAAATACTAAAAGATATGCATGTCAATTACACCTATGAGACACAAGTAAATATTGTGCCAGCGTCGATGGCAATTCACAACTATATTAGAATGAATGGAAGTTTTGACGAAGCATTTAACATGGTGCAACAAGAATTATACAACCCTCATATTGATGTTGATGATGAAAGATGTGGTAGCAATAATGAAGCACATGAAAAAACAAGTTCGCGTCGTAGGAGTAACGATCTATATATGAGTGCGGTGAAAGATATGATTGCAGGAGATCTAATAGGTGGATCCAGAGGAATATTTATTATAAATGACTATCTATTTTTTGTTATTGATATTTTGATTATAAAAATATCACATTATAAATGACGATCTAATATTCTTTTGTTGTACAAATCTATTATTTGTCATAAATTATTAATGATATTGGTATAAATGTTTGTTAATTATTAATCTTATTGATATAAATTTTTGTCAAAGATATTATTATAAATGATGAAAAATAAATTTTTACATGTTAAAAAATCAAATAAGTTAATAAACAATCCCAAACACTCCCATAAGTCAATAATATGGAATACCGTCCTTTTAGGTCATTTTACATATATAAGCAAAATTTGCCAAACACTAAAAAAACAACTTATCAACTTATTGCTTTTTGGTATCGCTATAAGCTAATCCAAACACTTTTTACAAAACTCCGGTTTAATACCACATAAGTTAATAAGCATTTTTACAAAAAAGACATAAGTTATTTTAAATGTCTTACCAAACGATGAACAGCAACGCACCCTTACTCCGCTATATTCACACAATTATGAGCATAGGTAATAACAATATTAATTCACATGATGTTATAAAAATAGTAGTTAATATATAAAACAAAAAAATAGTTAATATTAAAAAAAACACATACTATCCGATCCTTATAAAAAGGTTGTATCCAATCATTGTTCTTTACGTACAGACCGGAGTGGAGCTAATACAAGGGGCATTGACAGTTACACATTTTGGGAATGCAATTATTATAATATAGTCCTAAACTACAAGAAGTACAACATTTTCTCATAGATCTTCTTCTAATACAATTCTTTCCAAATTTGAAACAAATCTTTCCATCAACATACTTCGACTATGTTGTTTTTCCACCAATTTCCTCAATTCTTCATTCTCATCTTCAAGTCTCTTCTTCGTAACTTGGTTTTCTTTTCTTAGCTCTTGTATGATCTCCTTCAATTCAAGATTTTCTTTTTTAAGATCCTCAATCACTTTCGATTCCTCATCCTTCCACAAACACACCCATTTTCCATTTCACATAACAAGTATAAAAACCCATAAATTGCAACGTATTTTGGTCAATACCAAAACTGAAGGTTTTGAGATCAAATTACGTTGCATTTTACAATACAATTTGCTTGATATTAAACTTACATCACTTATGACGAGGATCTTGGATTTTTCTTGCGAATGTTGTTCTTCACCGTGCACTCCAACTATTCTACTAGCTCTTTTGCGGGCTACATCAATTGGATGTTTCGTAGTTCCTGATCCAGTTCTTAAAATTGATTCTGATTCTTCTTCCCTGTGTTCTTTAACCATTCTGATGGGTTTTTCACTTGCTACATCAATCAGATGCTTTATAGTTCCAGGTCCAGTTCTCAAAATTGCTTCTTCTTCTTCTGGAACCATTCTAATAGCACTTCCGCTATCTACATCAAGTGGCTGCTCCATCGTGGTTCTTGAACACCATTCCTTTGTACATGTTAAAAAAAGAATCAGCAGAAAATTTTGGATCCATGTGTCTGTAGGATCTTGAGGAAACTTACTTGTGTGATCTCCCTGATTATATCGACCTGCAACTCCTCTGAAGTTGGTTCAAGCCTCCATAATATCTGATAATATATCGACCCATAAATTCATAAGCCAAACAGACCCGGTATATCACACCCAAAGGTGGGGTCAGGGGAGGTTGAGATGTAAGCAGACGTCACATGACCTCCACCCCAATGGGTAGAGCCGCTGTGAATAGTGTGGAAAAAAGAAAATAAAAAGACATTCGAGAAGGAAGAATTTGAAAACAGAAAGGTAGAGAGAGACCCATAAGTGCATGGTAACCTGGAGAATAACAGTAAGAAAGAGAGACATGCCTGAGAATGCTCTAATTCCTCAAACTTGATAGTGAATTGGGAAGACGTTAAATATTGCCTACCACTGCTTTCCCATTGGCATACACGAGGAAATGTGGAGAGACAATCCAATAATTTAGGCCTTCCCATAACAATATGCTCATAACACCATACCTGAGGACATATTAGTTTAGATAACGGAATTTTGGAACAACCAACACAGAAGAAATGATATTCAGATTCTTTAACTAGGAAGGCAAACCATCTTTCCAACCTCAAAGACAACCTATTGGCATCTGAACCGAGGGAATTGTGATTCAACAAGTTTTCTGAATCAAAATATGCAGAGGTGACCCGCAAAGAGTTACGGATGCAAGAAGTTATATTGTCATTGCAATTGTGGTTGAAGGATGTTCAGCTTTCATAATGGTCAGGTTTGTGAGAATATGTGGAACTCCATTAGATTACTCTACAAAAGAGCTCTTGAGAAGAGAAGAAAAGTTCCAACATATATAGTGAAGAAATGGTCCAAGTCTAACCGATGAAAGACTCTAGCATGCCCCCTCCAACAGAGGCTAAACAAACATAGATTATCCCACAGAATCACAAGGAGTACAGATTGACCCCGAGTACCTAGAGTGATAGACCTTGGCTGTGAGAAAATGTAGAACGCTATCATATTACTCTCCAAAAGATCCATTGAGGAGAGAAGGGAGATTCCAACAGATATKGAGAAGAAATGGTCCAAGTCTAGCCGATGGACTCTAACAAGGTTGATGGATTTTCATGATTAAGAATCACATTTGGGGTATGGCATGGCAACTAGAGGTGTAGAAGACAAGACAAGCTGGCATGTGAGAGCAAATCAGAAGGCAGATCAAAAAGCCCCACAACCCCAAGCCAAGCTCAAACACATATGGCTCAAACTCAAGAGCTCAACAACTGTAAACGAGCCAAGCCCACCAAGCCTACATAAACCTATCCAAGACAAAATTTCCTATTTTCTTTTTAGGGGTTTCCAATTGTAACTTCTCGAAGAAAATTTATTTATTCCCCTTCTTCCTCCAAAAATGGAAACCCTTTCCATTTTGGATTTTCCTTATGCATAACTCTTTGAACCTACTTTGCTTTTCTGGTAATCATTACTTGACATAAGTAATTCTGCTTGTCGTCCACAAGTTTCTTTGTTCTATACACATTAAGGGTCATTTTAAACATTTAATCAATAGTCAAACAGAACCACGTGCCAGGTCCAACGTTGCATTTTTTGTGATCGAGTAAAAATTTTGTTGAACAGTTCACTTTTTATCATTTTACGGGCCCATAAGAACGAAGCCTAGGTCTGAGCTTATTCGTGCCTATACAAGCCAATGGGACCTAGCCTATACAAGCGAAGCCATGGCTGGAGCCAGTACAACCCTATGTGATCCCACAAAAGTTGAACCTATACAAACCAAACCAATCTCAATGATTTGAAAGAGCAAGTGATTTTGTAGAAAAGATGGAAGTACAATGGTCCCTTTTTGCATTTACATTTCCACAATTTGTCCAAAATCATGCAATCTTTCAAAATTATATTTTATTAATTATCACAAGAGCCAGCATTATTTTATAAGATAAGTTAAGTATGATGGTTCAAAAAGAAATATGAGCAAGTAAATAGGAACTTACTTGAAGAAGAATAAGACACCCTCCAATAAAACTTGTTCTTTTACTTTTTCGTTGGCTCAAGCAATCATGAAGATCTTCAAGAACAGCTGCACCCCAGGCAAAACAACTCACTTTATCCAAGTCTTGAAAAAAAGAAAGATACCTCAAATCCACCTTTCCATTTGCAGTTGGAAAAAGTAACGTTCCAAAACAATATAATAAAAACGTTCTCACGAAAGATTCATCATCCCTTTCACCTAGAGACTCAAGTCTCTGCTTAAGTGATTCAACACCAATTGTCCTATTCACTATAGAAGCACCAAATTCTTTCTCTAGGCTCGTTAATGGTGCATCTTCCTCTAGGACCACAARTTCACCAAYAMCACGTARTCCTAAAATCAAAACAACATCTACAAGGGTTATTGTTATTTCWCCAGGAGGAAATACAAACGCTTTTCTTTCGYTATTCCATCTTTCCATCAATTCGTTCAATTGCAGCCTCCTTAGGACATGATTTGGAATACRCAACAAGTTGCCAAATCCCACTCTTTTAATGGAGTTCCTTTGGCTTTCTGTCAGTTTATTTACTTGTTTCAGAAATGAAGGCAATGAGAATTTGGTAGTGAAAACCTGCATAAAGAAACATGTTTGAGAGATTGATGCTGATATCAAAATGTAAATGGATCAAATGAAAATGAACAATTCTTCTCCATTCTGAAAGAATGCATCATTTCACAAAAGTTGTAAACATTAAACTGTAATCAGAAGTGGAGGTTTTGTTATTTCAGGCTCTAAGGCACAAAGGTCTGCCTACGGCCATAGGCATGAGACTCATAGCAAGGTGGGTGACTCATCTACAATGACCAACAAAAGTTTTAAATTGTACACTATCAACAGCCTTAACACAAAGGCCATGTTTGTTTGGCAACMAAAAAGCTAGCTTATTTTTTGAGCTTACTGAAAAAGCCCCGTGTGGTAAGCCAAGCTAGCTTTTTGAAAAGCTACTTCAAATAGMTTATCGGGCTWWTTYMMYTTTYYTWWTKKKSCCCYTWWWWTTTTWWTTTWRGKYMWTTTWMMWT